TTGAACATCCAATGGAACAGTTCTACAAAACACAGAAGGGATCACCCTGAGGTGCAATTAATTAATTGGATGGCAACTAACAACAACAACAACAGCAAAGAAGCAGTTGCCTGTTCTGCTCTTAAAAAGTGGGAGAGAGAAAGAAAGAAAGAGGAGGGTGGCAGAGACTGAGGGAGGGAGAGAGGGAAGGAAGAAAGAAAGGAAGGAATAAAGGAAGAGGGAAAGAAAGAAAAGAAAATCCTATGGGGTACAATTCTACTCTGACACAACTTGGGGTCACCATGAATTGCAGCCAACTTTACCATAACTAGTGGTTACCTAACAGTATGCACCCTGCCCTTAATCCTGCACCCTGAGACTATAGTCCCATGTGTACTCTCCTTACTCCTGCTGTTAGGACATATTGGCCAGGTACTGCAATTTCCTCTTTTTTTCCCCTGGACAAGTTGTCCAGTTATTTGCCTTGTGACTAGCAGCAAAGGTGGGTGAAAATTTTGAGGGGGCTGAATCTCGATTTTTAGTGAAAAGCCTCTACATTGTTTTCAAGCAAGATGAGAGTGCTACCTATTAATAGGGAGAAGCAGGTCACTTCTGTCGTCTCAGGGCGTTCAGAAAGATCTGTAGATAAAGATTTTGAGGGAAATCAACCAAGAAGTTTTCATGCTTCCCCTACCAATAAAACCTTTGCAAAGGTTTTCCTGCCCCTTGCAAAGGATAAAGGACCCTAACCTTGGCAAAACAAGCTGGCCTAGGTTAAAATTTTAACATTCTCTGAAGCTCTACCACACGTTATTAAGTTTTAGATCTGGTCCTCAGCTTTCTTTGCTCTCTAACTGCAGGAGATGTGAGTCACTTTATTAGATACCCTGACAGCATTCACACGTAGCTTCTTCTTCTTCTTCTTCTTTTCTGATTATTCACTTTCAGCCTGTCTTTTATTGAGCTTAGAAACAACCACTAATTCCACTGTCCTTATAGTTTTTACCTACTCCCCCTCTATACTTCTCAAATACTTTGGTGGAGCAATAATTTAATGCTCAGGTGCTAACTGAAATGTTTGTGCTTTGAACCTATCTAGCGGCTCCATGGGGAAAGACGTGGAGATCTGCTTCATAAAGATTATAGCCTAGGAAATCCTATGGGGAAATTCTGTCACATGGGATGACTATGAGTCAAAATTGGCTCAACTGCAACAAAAACAGCAACAGTGCATTCCCTTCCACTGGTTCGTCATCCTGGTTCGCCACTTCTTAAATTTTTCATAATCATTCGATAACTTTGTGTGTTATTCTCCACTACTACCAGTAATGGGGTCCTCATTGTCAGCTGCGCAGCAGGTAATTCATGCCCCATATTCCCGCTTAAAGTCAGCTTTCTTGGGTCATTCTCCTACCCACAGTCACAGGTTCGGTTGCCTGAGAAGCAGACTCTTTGACGGAAATGAGCTTGTAGAGGGGTTATTGTGGAGTGTGCCTGGGCTTACTACCTGTGAAAGAGAAGGAAAGAAAGCAGGATTGGGCAGAAGGAGAAATGAGAAATGATATGTTCTCAATAACGTATTTGACTGTCTCTACTGGGAATTCTAGGCATTCCTAGGAGGCGCAGAC